TCTGTTCAAATAAAAGCCTTTTCTGGACACAATTTCCAGTAATAATGACCAACATTACAGTCCAGAAATGTCATTGTGATGCAAAGAATTAAGTAAACAATATCATGTCTGATACTTTGTCATTTAAATGATGCCTTCACCCAAAGACACACATTATACAGACAGGAACCTGCGGTTGATTGTTCATGGATCATCAGTTCAGAGTTCAAACTTCCAACTTTCTGCTTACCAGCCTAGATCTCTGAACACTATGCCTCAACACCACCATGCAAATCATTCCTGTTCACCCAGAATGCCCTCTGTTTCCATTCAGGGCCTGTTACAGATGTCAACACACCTGAGCAAAGTGAAGGTCAATGATGGGCTGGAGTTATACAGTATGAGCGGTTATGTTAATATTACATAACCCAACAGATTTCAATAGGTCTGACCAAAACACCCCACTTTGACAGATAATAATTAAAATATGAATATACCTCACATAAGCAGTAGACCTATTTGCACTTTATTTAGAAAGGATGCATTAAACTGATGAAAAATGACAGTAAAGACATTTATAATGTTACAAAAGATTTCCATTTCAAACAAACGCTGTTCTTTTAAACTTTCTATTCATCAAAGAATTCTGGTTTCCACTAAAGTATTAAACAACACAACTGTTATCAACACTGATAATAAGAAATGTTTCCTGAGCAGCAAATCAGCATATTAGAATGATTTCTGAAGGATCATGTGACATTTAAGAGTAGTATTGATGCAGTTTCAGTACTACTGCAAACTGCTACAGTACTAGTATGTGCTATATTAAAAATATGACAATTTACAGTAACAATTAGTATTAATATTTATGGAAGCCCATTTCTGTCATAAAATAAAGAAATAAAAAAATGATTCACAACTTTTTAATCTCGCAATTCAGACTTTTTCCTCATTACTCTGTCTGAGTATCACAATTTTTGTTATTTTGTGGTGGAAATAATAATAATACAAGATGTAAACTCAGA